CCCAGGGAGCAGCCAGTGCTGAGGCCCTGAGCGAATTTCTCACCAGGAACTTTGGTTCAGCTGAATGAGAGCTGGCCAGTGCGGCTGAGGCCTTGAATGGCCAGGAATGTTCAATGGAGGGCACTTCTGTTCAGACCTGGAGGATGCTGGGACCTTTCTTTTATTTGGAGAAAGAATCATGAGCATCCTGATGCTGGCTCTGTCTCCTGAGGAGCTTTTGTCTTCATTGCCTTTTCAGAAAAAGTTTCTCATTTTGTTAAAGTACTCTGGTAATGCACTGTTCCTAAAAATATTCATCCTCCCTCATACTAGCAAATGAACCCAGGGCATTCATACTGAGCTATTCCCAGCCCTTGTTTCATTTTTCTTATTTTTAGATAGGGTGTTGGTAAGTCACTAACTTGCCCAAGCTGATCTCAAGCTTGCAATCCTGCCTCAGCCTCCCAGAATGCTGGGATTACAAGCGTGTGCCACCATGCCCAGCAATGGGCAATCTTAAGAAAGCCAACATTTAAAATTGTGTTTCTTAATCTTCACCAAGAAACTGAAGTCACGTGTCACCCTTGTTCCTTTTCTCCTTCCAGGAACCAACTGAATTACATCACAGAAGAACTAAGAAACCCAAAGAGGCAAGAAAGCTGACCCAAGCAGTAGAAAAGGGATCCAAAAGCATGTGTCACTCTGTCTTCATTACTTTTCTCTTACTGCTGAGATAAAATACCCATCTCCAGCATTAAGGAAGGGAAGGTTTATTTCACTCACAGTTTTTGGAGGCTTCAGTCCATACTTAGCTGGCTCCAAGGCAGGGTGGCACATGACAGAGGGCAAGAATTTATGGTTGTGGAAAACAGCAAAAGCAACAAGGGCAAAACAGGAGGAGCAGAGAGAGCAGGATCTTTCCCTCACTTATACTGTATGCAAGCTACCCATCCCAGGGTGGATGTAGCACTCACACCCATAATCCCAGCATTGGATCATGAATCAATCACGAACTTTAGAAAAGCCACTTCCATGATGGCACGAGGCTTTGTGGGGACATCTAGACACAAAGCATAACACACTCCTCCTAGGCACATGTACAGGTGCTGTCTCCTATTATTCCACGATTCCATTCCAGGCAGTGAATTTTTCATTCTTCTGACCCAGGGCCTCTTGTATGCCAGGCAAGTGCTCTTCTGTGGGAGAGAATGGCTCCTCCTAACCTCATCATCCACTCTTAGGGTTTGCTGTTTGGGGAAGTAGAATGTTCCCTAAAGGGAAGGAAGAGTGCCAAGTTCCTTTATCTCTGATTCCTTTGCTTTAAACCACTGGACTGGACTGCCCTAGGACCCAAGAGTGAATCTTCTCACTGGAAAACCTCTCATTTCTGCTGGGCTCTGCCATATTGCTGGCCTGCCAAGGAGGCACAGGAAGGGCATCTGGGGTCTGGGCCACCACACCAAGAAGGGGGTGTATGAGAGGGAGGGGAGAAGACAGGATGAGGAGGACACGGACCCTCTGGGCTGACCCGGGTTCCCTGTCCCTGTCTCTCTCAGAAACCTGCCCCTGGCCATCATGATCGGGATCCCTCTGGTGACAGTGTGCTACATCCTCGTGAACGTCTCCTACTTCACCGTGATGACCCCGACAGAGCTCCTGCAGTCCCAGGCGGTGGCCGTGGTGAGTGTGCAGGGGCCGTGGCCTGTGGCAGGAGGCCCGAGGACACTGGGAGAGGGACAGGTCAGGGGGCTCAGCTGTCGTGAGCGGAGTGGGTTTAGGGGAGAGGGCAGGGCTGTGGGCTCTTCCTGTGTAGCTCCAGCCCAGCGGGGCACAGGCAGAGCTGGTGGCTAGAGGGTGGAGCTGGGGGAACCAGGGCTGGGGTTTGACAGACAGGAGGAAGGACAGGGCAGTGTGCAGGGAGTGGATTCTAATCATGAGTTGTGGACTGGAAGCCAAATGGGGAGGAAGGCAGGTCAGGCACGCTGCACAGGTTGGTGCACAGCCATCATTCCAGGTACTTGGCAGGCTGGGGCAGGAGGGTCGCAAGTTCAAGCCCAGCCTGGGCAACTTATGAAGACCTTCCTAAAATAAAAATAAAAGGGTTGAGGATGTAGCTCTCATTGAGAGCTCCTGTGTTTAATCCCCAGTACCAACACACACACACACACAGAGAGAGAGAGAGAGAGAGAGAGAGAGAGAGAGAGAGAGAGAGAAAGCCTGCAATGGAAGGATCACAAGTCCCAGTCCAGTTTAGGTAATTTATAGTGAGTTAGTGAGACCCTACTTTAAAGCTAAACAAGCAAACATTAAAAATGTCTAGAGATGTAGCTCAGTGGAAAGGCTCTAGCTTCAGTCCCCAGTACAAAACAAAAAAAGTATTGGACACCATGTTTTTAGTGAAAACGATGGGCTCTACATGTTGGAGACCTCATGGAGTTGGGATAGCACAGAAAGAGTTAGAAACAGACAGCGAGGTGGTGGCGGTTTTGCTTAAGCAAGAGATGCAGTTTGGTTCGTGCTGAGGGCACCAATCACCAGCCTGGGTCATTAAGGAGGAGGAGAACAAAGTCACTGAGTCTCAAGGAAGCCAGAGCACAAGGTGTTGGGAAAATTATTCAATACCTAAGAATGATGGCCAGAAGGGGTGGCTTTTAAGATTCTTGTCACCATCAAAGAATCCTGAGACCACAGAGAGGTGCAACGGGCCTATAATCTCTGCACTCTGGGAGACTCAGACAGAAGGAATAACAATTCAACCCTGGACTGCACAATTTAGCAAAACCATGTCTCAACATACAAAATAAAAAAGGGTGGAGGATATAGCTCAGTGTGAAGGCCCTGGGTGAAATCCCCCATGCTGCAAACAGTTAATCTATCAATATAAAACTCCTGAGATACTGGCAAGAGTTTTTCAGGCACTGCTGTCCAGCAGGGAGCCCAGAGCCTGTGCCCAAGGAGGTGAGGTGAGGACCTACATTGTCTGGGAGGGCAGAGGAGCTTTCTTTAGACCAACAGCTCATGGAGATTATGGAAGGGCAGATTCTCAGAATTTGTTTCCTTCTCCTGCCAGACTTTTGGTGACCGTGTTCTCTATCCAGCCTCTTGGGTCGTCCCACTTTTTGTGGCATTTTCCACCATTGGAGCTGCTAACGGGAACTGTTTTACTACGGGCAGGTAGGGGACCCTGCAGTCCCTCTGTCTCCAAGTGGGCAGGATGTAGCAAAGCTGATGTCACTCAGGAGGCCCTAAGTCTCTGGGGCTATGCTAGGGCAAGTGCCTACTAGCCTAAATCAGAGCCCCAAAGTCCAGAGAAGGGATGTGGCTTGTACTTCCCTGGCAAGGGAAGTGTGGACAAGGCTACTTCCATGGAGTTATGAAGGAAACCATGCAGAGCACAGGGCAGAGGGAGGCAACAGGACCACAGGAGGCTTTGGTTTCTACATGGTGCCTCTCACGCTGCATTGCTTTACCTAGTGCTATACACAAACGTCTTCTGTTTATTCAAACAGAGACCTGCCAAATGTTCCCTTAAATAGCCAAAGCTTAATATTCTAGGGCACAGGTATATATGTCTATCGGGGTGGAGGTGTAAAGGGTATTTTCGCTACTGAGGTTCCCAGAGCAAAGAGCATGCAGTGCCAACATCAGCAACATCAGCAAGGAAGCATCACTACAGTTCGGACCACATATATTGGCAGTTATCAAAGTGTATCTTCTTGTGTACTGTCATAGCTTGTGTAGGGCATGCACCATTGTTTATACTAAGCCATGCTTATGGAAGTGTACCCCATTGTGTACCTGTGCTAGACAATGACTTCCCCATTTCTGGTTTCTTTTTTTTTTTTTTTTTTTTTTTCTGGTACCAGGAATTGAACTCACGACCTTGTGCTTGCCAGGCAGGTGCCATCCTGCTGAGCTAAATCCCCAGCCCCCATTTCTGAAGTTCAAAAAGAATCAGGCATCCACTCAATTTCTACTTCATTTCTTCTGCCCTGAAGAATCAGTCTGCTCCAGGGCTGGTAGATGCCATCTGGAGCGAGATCAGAAGACAAAATTTGACCAAGCTGTCTATCCACTCTTTCACTGGGGCATGATTTCATCATCCCAGGGAGCTCATGTGTTTACTCCTCTAGGCATTTTATATAAGCACAACTCAGCTATGACAGTCATGTTTAAAGAAGGAAGCATTGCTTAGCACTAAACCATTGCTGTCTAGTTCTTTGAAAGACAGCAAGTACCAAAGAGTGAGTTGGCAGTACTTTGAACACTTCTCAGTCTGCAAAGGAGAATACCTCTAGAGGTAGGTAAAAATGGCTTGGAGAAAAATCTCACCCTGAGCCCTAGGGCAAAGAAGTCCCCAAGACATTCTTGGTAGCTACTGAATCACCTAGGCATCATTTTTAGCAGCAAGACAAAGCTGTATTTTTAAAAAAATTGTATCTCTTAAGCTCACAGGTTAAACTTAGGTCTGTGACCTAGCAATCACAAATCACATATTATTAAAGGCACATTTCAGTCCTTTACACACACATGAAAGTAAAAAAAGCTGACTAAAACCTCTTTATTACTCTTGGTTAGCATATGCAAGGTACAAATATAAATTGTTCTCCCTGATAGCTGCTTTCCTCAGTGAAAGGAAGCAGTTGTTGCTGGCTGGTGATCTCATGACAAGGTGGTTCTAAGGTAACTTCCAGCAAGTTGGAGAAAACACGGGGCTTTCCAACTTAGTAGCAGAAAGAGAAAAGTATGGTAGAGCAATGGAGATGTTTCTGCTGACTGTCCAGTGGGGCAGTTGGCAGTGTTTTCACTGAGAAACCTTTGGGTATCCACCAGGGAGAAGCGCTGGCCATGACCCTCAGTTGCTCTCTCAGTTTTTACTGGTCCTTGCAGCCAGAAATCTGTCTCTGGAGCAGAATCCAGCTGCCTCTCTGGACAACATTCCATTGGCCTTTGGCATCAATGCAGATTCGCCAGAAGGTGCTGGGGGAAATCTTCCCTCTGCTTTAAGAATGGCAGCTGCTCTAAGAGCTTCTAGGTAGCTGGCAGAGTGACCACTATTTGTTAAAGTTCTACAAGATACAGATAAAAATCCTCACTGTCTAACCCCCCCCCAAAATAACATAGCATTTTATAAGTATAGAATAAAAGTTCCAAAGTCCACAATTCATTATCAGAGTATTTTCCGCTCCTATATATGCAAATGAAAGCCAGTCCTAGGAGGGGAAGAAGAAGGCTGGAGATCCTCCCTTAGGCCAAATGTGTTTGGCCCCTTAAGTGTGATGTTTTAGAAATAGCTCTTTCTGGTTTCACCCAGAAGTCGATTCTTTCCACGGGGTATCAGTTTCAGTCTCCCAAGGAAGACTGTTGACCAGAATACTAAGCGAGGACATGTCTTTTATGTCTGCTCTCCTGGATGGACAAAATTCTGATGTCTCATCTGACCCAGAGACAGGATATGTGTTCCTCACTTAAAATGATTTCCCTCAAAAAATTTAGAAAAACTAAAATAAATAAAATGACCTCCCCATCTTCAGTGTTAGCAAATGCTTGCTTTTTATGGGCTTAATTCATAAGTTCTTAGTTGTTGGGTAGGAGGAAAAGGTTGGGGCAGTTTAGAGCTCCTCTCTCTCTAATCCCACATCCTTCCAAAAAAAGTAAAAGTACAAAGCAGCAGGAAAAGATGGGAAATAAGATCAAAGAAGCCAGGCATGGTGGCATGCAGGTGGTCCCACCTGTAATCCCAGCACTTGCGAGGCTGAGGCAGGAGGATTGTTGCAAGATCAAGGCCAGTTTGGGTGACATAGTGATTTCAGGATCAGGCTGAGCTACAAAGCAAGACCCTGTCTCAAAAATGAAACAAACAAGAAAGAAAAAAGATCAGAGAAACAGAGGTCTTTTTTCTTTAGACTCACAGTAAGTTATTGAAGCAACCTGCCCCTGAGTTCTCACTGTCAGCCGAAGAGGCTAGACTGGGAAATCTCAGGAACTAAGATCGCCTCCACTCCAGTGCAATATCAGACCACAAAAGATACTGAGGCAGAACAAGTGCCACATTTGTGTTAGAGTGTAGAGGAGGATCAGGGCCAGTCTGTGCAGTAAAACCTATCCCTTAAGACTGAAGAACAGCTGTTGGTCTATTGCCTTTTAATTGGCAGTTAGGGTCCTGTGATTTAGTAATAGGCATATACCTTTCCTAAATATAAACCAATTTCATAAAAGACCCACTTTATAGCATTTCATACCAAAGCCCATTAGGAGATCTCTAATATTACATTTCCTTAGTGCTGCTGTCTAAGATCACAAGCCACAGCAGTCAAAGAAGTCAA